GACTGGTTCCTTTCTCAAATCGCGTCAGTACCATTTGTTTCCGTCGGGACCATCTAGATTGAATTTCTTTTCATCCGAAAAGACGACCTGAGTAGGAATTATTCAGCTCTTTTGATGCAGATCTACCTTTGCCCAATCTCTCCCTAGATTCATCTTTGCAAATTCGAATTGAGCCTCTCTGTGGCGATCGGTGATTCGTGGCACCTTCTCCATTGCTTGCCTGGTGATGTTCTCGCATCTTCTCACTGCTGACTGGTGTTTTCGACATGAAGAGGTTTAATTCCGATCGGATCTGGTTCAAGGAGGGCGTACTGTTGGAAGCAGTCCTCAGAATCTTCCGCTCGTCACGTTCAGTAATCTTTCATTGGTGTCCACAATCGGTGTTATATCTAGGGAAATCAGGGCTCTCCAGAATTCTTTGAATGGACCAATGGGATCTCCCTATTTGCCTGGAGATGGCTCGAGTACTGAGCCCACCTTCATGATGAGCCTTCTCATCAGATGAAAGCAGATGACCACGAGTCATGTTGATAGCCAGGTTTAGAAACGCATTTGCTACACATGCTTACCTTCATAAGTATCCTCAACTACGAAATTTCCTCTCTCCCATGAATAATTGTTCACTTTCTCAGTGTGACCTTATAATTATGAAACGGTGCAAAATCCGATAAACTGTTCTCAAAAAGTTCAGAAAAATGCAGCTGCGGCTAAAAAACGGAAACCTAGGTTATTCGTACTGGGGAATCCGTTCATGATGCTAGAAAAAATCCTTAATGATTGCTTTCTCTGAAAGTGCAAAATTTGAGGGTGACCTTATAATTATGAAACGCACTGTATGAGTAACCATTTTTATCGTAACTGTCCTCGAGGCTGTCTTAAAGGACAGCAACCGGAAGAAGCTACCCTATAAATTGGGCTCGCTGAAGTTTGCTCCTTCAAAATTTCAAATGATAAGCAAAGATGAGAATATGTGTTTCAAGATTGAATGAAATGCTCATCTCTCGAGATTACACTTGCATCAAAACAGTCACACTGAAATTACCCAACGTGCTCTAAATGGGGTGCACACACACACATCCAACACACATACACACACACACACATACACACATATCTATGACTATGGACAAACTTATGAATTGGATGTTATCTAGCAATAAGTACTGATCGAAAACGCTGAGCGTTGTACAAGAAGCATGAAGGAGTACCCAAAAAGAAAAGCTCATTAATGAATACAGACTGTTTTTAAAGAAGCAGCAGTTTCCTGTCAAATATCGAGTATTTCAAGCGTCATACACTCAATCATAATAAGAGTATGCTCTCCTGCATTTCTTACTAGCGGAATGAGTGTGATCAGGATCCGTTTCAGAGCAGAAGCACCTAAACCCTCCCTAAAAACAGCGATTGGACGATAAGGACCTCCTTGTATTATTGGAAACGCACCATTGGATTACCCATTAAACCAGTAGCACACGGAAAACAGGTGATGAGTTCCACAACAATGGGGTCAGTTTGGTAGAACTAGTTAAGGTAAAGCAATGCGATAGCCTGACTGTGCCAGTCACCGATCCACTCGACCAACTGACGAGTTATAAGAGGAGTAGTCGCTGAATATATAAATAAGGTCTTTGAAAGAAAAGGTAACTTTCCAGTGTTGGTAATTTGGAAGGGAAGATTTTTAGTAATCTGCTGAAATTGGTGGATTCGTCTGGCACGGTACGATGATGAACTCGAGTATCTGAGGTGTAGTTATGGCTGTCATTAGACTTCTGAATACCTCCACACTTGGAGTCCCTTCTACTCTAAGAATCAACACTCTATTCCTCTATTCTCACGCTATTTCTTTTTTTAATGAAGTTTATTTGCTTAACAGAACCGCAGTGTGGTTCAAATGTAAGAGAATGAGTACTAGTGAGCTATAGTGAATTGGAGAGCCGTCAATTGCTAGTACTCGGAAAGGGCACCGGCACCGCAACTGAACAGTACCCTTTCTACACCTTCAAATACTTCCAGTAGGTGGCTTGCATCTTTATGTCACTCAAAGGTGGGGAGCTTGTAATATAATCGAATTATTCAAGCAAGAAATTTCTCTCTTCATGATCTTTTTTTGTGATGGTTGCTTTATCAAAAAATAAGAACCCTTTTCCATAGTCTCGCAGTCCGAATATGAAGATGGCACGGTTAGGATAGATATTTCCCGGTTCTAGAATGATTGACACAAGCTAGTCCGCTAACTGCCTGAAATCAATGGTCAAGTCAAAGCAAGCCTGAAAAAAATGAAAGGGCGGTGCTCAGGATTTCAGCAAATTGTAATTTTGTCTGCGTCGAAAAGGCAATCAAACAAGAAGTGGCATCGTTGTTGATTATCACTGAGGAGTTGGCGAGCCTCTTTTGAGTATAGTGAGGTTGAAGACAAGGGCTCTAATTGTAAGGGTTTAAAATGCAGCAGCGATAACCACCTTGTTATAAGTATTACCGATAACTCTTGCATGTTCATCAAATACAATTTTTGGCATAACTATGGAAAAATGTGGGACAAAAGGATAAAGGATGTCTTGGAAAATTACCACATTTTGAATGCTGTATTGCATTTGGCCTATACAACTATTTGCTTTGGTCAGAAGATGAGCAATTCAGCACTTTAACCCTCCCAGTCTGGAACCACCTATGTGAATCGGAGGGATAGAAGGCTTGATTGTTCTGGGCGGATATCGATCCCGGATTCGATCCCCGTGCCGTGCGCGTGTGATAATGTGCCACTTGTGCCTACATCACCATTCGTAGTGGTTCCCCATTTACCTAAAGCCAAGGAATGGATTAGTAGCATATCTCTTAAGTTACCGCCAAAACTGACTCGGATTGAAAGCGAATACAAGGAAAATCGGTGACACAATGCTCCACGTACAAAATCACCAAATTTACTTTTAGGGACATGACAGATGACATAGGATCTATTGAGACTGTTTTGAAACTCCTCTAATTTACAGGCTTAAGATGCAGGAAACGCGCGGCAATCACCAAATTTTCTCTATTAGTAAAGACCTTCAGTTGTGTAGAAGTTCCATTCAATCTTGATGGAAGTGACCGTGCTCGGATACAACGGAACTATGATCGGAAATGACAAAGTAAGTTTGAGCTGTACCTGTTGGTGAGCGCTTTCGTTGTTGTTGCTCTCAGTGGTTCGACTGAATTTTCCTGCTGATTCGCCAGGATCAATTGACTAAACGAACACAATTTACCTCACAAAAACATCACTTGAAAATTTCACTGGATGGTGCTTAGAAGTAAGTCACGGAACAGTAAAAATAAATTAAAACTAAAAAACGGAAAATGGTGTTTTGAAAAATAGAATCAGTCACGCTGGTAGACGTTGAGCGCTGAGGATAACTCCAACCTCCTTGTGCTAGAGGTCGTTTTCTCAATACCAATCAGTGACAGCTTGAATGGGCTCCTAAGAGCCTTTTCAAAAAAGTATTAGTTGCAAAATATGCACTTCGAAAAGACTCCATCTCGATATAACTTTCCTAGCTAGGACGGATTATATGACAACTTTCATGTTTTATGAATTTCCAAGGTCCCAACTAGGTTCTGGTCCACTGAGGGCTGGTCCATGGAGACAAATCACAATAGCGTATCTTCCTCCAAGGTTTCAGTGTTAGATCATAACAGGTCCATGGAAATGGTTTTGGTGTAATCCAAGAATTCAATTTGCATGAAGAAGGAAGTCTTGCC